TCCAATCTTTGGTTTTTCGACTAAAAGCAAAGCAAGGCGTTTGCTTTCAGCGCTTGTGCAAGACTAGATAGATGCTTGACTAGATGCTTGTGTGGCTAGATGCAAATTTCAATGCATTATCATATTATTCCTAACTACACTTTCAAAGTTGAGTAGAAAAAAATATCTTTTCGCAGAATAAATTCCTTTAAAAACACTTGGTCCAATTTTGAAGTTTCTATGTTGAACATGAAGTAATTAATTAGAAGATAATCATTTTGACGACATTCAATGAACATATGAAATTGTATGGTCGAAGAATTGTACAATAAAAACAATTCTTGCATTTTCAATCGAAGAAAATAATTAACAAGAACAAAAGCATGAAGCAAAAATGGGCATATATTTTTTAGAACGTAAGTTGAAATGCCAGCACGATTTTACCAAACAAATGTTTAAGCACATACAGAGGAGATACTGCCATTAGGAAATCGTGCGATGAAAAATCCTTTATACAAACATAAGTATTTTACATAAAAATTGTCAAATTCAAGGGAAATTTTAATCACAGTTTTATTTAAGTTCAAAATTCATTTATACAACTTTTAAACTTTTGCCTCCTTTTTATGTTGTATTACAATTTTATTATTTATCTTGATATTAGTAATAATAAATATTATATAACAAATATAATTAGTAATAATAATATCATAATTTTAACTTAAAATATTTATCATAATTATTTCATGAAATGCACGTGTATTTTTTGTAGCCAGGCCATTTTTATCCCCCATCTCAGAGAATAATTATATTCCATCTCTTGCAACTCCCTCGGGTCTCTTGCATTTAATCGAGCAATTGTTGATTTCCTCAAACTTTCTGAAAATTTCCTATGATTTTCTGAAAAAAGTGTTATGAAAGTTTCATTCAAAAAAGACATACGATCTGATAGGAAGTTTTCCCGAAATAATAATGTTGGATTAAAACCAGAATAACATTAAAATGATAAACAGAGATACAGATATAATATAATTTATATCACAGTATAGTTTGTTACTTGATCGGACATTTTCAGTAAGAAAAAATGGAGGCTCTTTGTTACATTATTTTTCAGCGAAACTACATCGAGCGTGCTCAGAGTTCAGCATTTTTTTATAATATTAGGTATTTTTTGAAATGACATCGAATTTGATGTTCGAGTTACACGATGAAGAGCGCTGTTGAACTTCAAATTAAATGTTAACTTATTTATTGATTTAAATTTTACTGGATTTTACATTGAAATTTCAACGAGCCTGCGTTTAGAGTTCATTATTTTGAAAATTATTTAGAAATTTAGTGAAGCTTCGTCGAGGCTAAGGTCAAGAATTACACGACGAAGAGCGCTGTCGAACTTCAAGCTTAATGGCTCACGATGGCATCATTTGTATCCAGCAAGAGCTCTAGTGCAACTGATTGAGTTACTGATGATGATAGAGAAAAATGCGGCTCACTCGAGCGTCGAACATGAGCGAAGTCTTGAGCAGCCTGATGATACTGACGACTAACTGTGATGATGGAACTGCTGTAATTTGCTCGTTAAAATTGCGAGGCTCTGCACGATGTAATGATATAGCACGGCGATTTCCGTGAGTTCTGAGTTAGATTATTGTCCAGAGAAATGCTGGAAGTTAGACTAGTTTATGTAAGAGCGATAATAGAACAGTGTGAGAATAGAATAAAGTGAGGATAGATTGAAATTGAATGTAAATATTTAGTAAATAATATTTTAGAATATTATTTTATGTTTTACTTCATTTTTTCTGAAGAAAAGTCTTCTGAAGAAGTTTTGTGAGGTGCAGTTGTAAACTTCATTATTAAAATGTGGAACTAAAATGAGCATTTCCATAAAAAATGCGAGAGTTTGGGATTTAATAATATTTCGATAGTTTTGCAATATTAATTTTAAAATTTTACAAATAAAAAATCACGCCTAGAGTTTGCATCTCATATCCAAGAATATTCCGACCACTGTCAAGCCTACAAACTTTATACAATTTGCACTTTATTTTATGCTACTGTCGCCGTGCATAGTAATTTTAATTTTCGTCTCATTTGAGTCCATTTTCATCCAAATAATCCTAGTTACTGCCAACTTTCATCTCCCTCATCCGTTCTGGCTGCACGAAATGAGCAAGCGTCGTCCATTAGAAAAAAACCAGCAGTCAGCAGCAGACCACTTAAAAACAGACCTTGGGGAAAATAGGCCGTTTGAATTTTAATTTTAAATTTATTATAGTTCGTGTCATATTAGTTGTGTTAACAATGAGCGAACTAAACTATCTGAATTCCCCATAAATTTTGTTATCTAGTTTATTCTGATGCTCCGTAATATCATCTAGAAAAATGCAGAGAATGAAAACGTGTTCATTAAATTGGGAGAGGCAGTTGGAAAGTTTTATTCGTTACATTACTGAAATCTAATTAAGAAAAATATAACTCAGTACTCACTGCAGTGAGTGACAGAGCGCATTTTCTCGTCGACGAAAACGTGAAGTCACGGACAGACGGACGGACGGGACGGACGGACATGGCGAGCACAAAATGCATTTTTCCATAAATGAGAAAATGCGCTAATAAATCAATTAGAATTAAAATTCCTTTTCAATATTTAATGATTTTGTGTGTTTGGTGTCACGCGTTAGTTAAAATTGAATTAAATGAAGAATTTTTTTTCTCTCAAATTGTATTATAAATATTTCATGTTGTTGGTGACACACGTGTCTTTTCATGCGTCATGCCGAAGGCCGCCGGTCTCACCTCATAATGTGTGTTGCCAAGAGCGTAACTGCCCACGGCCACGGTGATTCTGGAATATCACAAAGTTAATTTAAATAATTATCAAGTTAATTTGAGAATTGCTTTGTGTGTTGGCGTTGACTAACCTATGAATAATGCTGCTTAACCAGCTTAATTTAATATTTTTTTTACTACTACCTTCTGTTAATATTTTGGCGAAAAACTTTGACTTTAGTAATCATGTTATGAAGCTTCACTGTCTCCGCTTCAATTTAGCATCAGTACAAAAATTTTCAACTCAAACCAAGTCCAACATATTAATTTTCGTAGCAAATAATTTAAATTTCGGACATGCATTCGTACAAGTATCGACGCTTATATTTGACTTAAGGAAACTTTGCGTAAGCTATGACAAAATAACTTAACTTGAAAACGGAATTTCAAATTCAGAATAGTTAGCAGAAATATACCATAGGAACGAGTTAACTTATTCCAAAAATAGCACAATTTATTTTAAAAAGAATTACAACTAATTTTAAAAGTCATTTAAAAAGTCGTTTTCACTGTGCTTTTAGAGCGCAATCACGAACCTCGATTTTCCTCGGCCTTGCAGGCTGTTTTAGGCGTAATCACTTAATGAAGCGTTCACCCATATACTTTGCATTACGTTTCCCCTTGTAATTATCTAGGTCGTTCATAACCAGCGATAGCGCTTCAGGAGACCGTCTCAGCGCTAAAACGAGTCTTTTTCTCTCTAAGCACAAGAATGGCTCAGAAAATCTGAAAACAGTATATGCAGAGAAAACTTTTTAAAATTCTTATTATTCACATGAAATTTATATACTCAGTTAGTTTTGTAATATTTTATCATAACAATATCGATTATTGAAGAATTTCTTCTTCAATTTGTAAATAGCTGACTAATTTCTTGCAAAATATTTTCTAGTCTCACCATTTTCATTCTGATGTTCTTTAATGATGCTGGACGTGAATGCTCGGTACTCAACTTTGATTGCATAAAAGTCAGTTCCAAAGATTTTAAAAAATTCCTGTTCTCTGTAAATAAATTTACAGATCAAATCAATCAATTACTTTGTTAGTTTATTAAACGGTCAAAGTAATTGATGAGATTAATTGCAAATTTATAAAAAATTAAATAAAAAATCAACAGGACATAAAATAAATATGGTCGAAATGACAATGTTTTAGAGTTAAAAATTTGCGCGTTAGAGTCAACTTTTTCCAATTTGTCATAGAAGAGCATTTTTCCGGTAGAGCTTTAGCATGAAACATCAGTGCATCAGTGATATGGTGCTGCTTTGTACAGCGTCCTACATTTAAAGTAATAAAAGATGAAGTTCGCTCATAAAAGTTACTCGCAATGACATGAACATGTACTTTTTCTGAAGGCAACTTTTCATTTCTATTGAGCCGAAAGTTAGCAGTATGAGAGGGTTATTTCAGCTTCTATGAAAATGCAGTCCAATTTATATAATGAAAGGTATTATTATATTTGTATTACTTTGAACTTAATATTTGGTCTATGTGAATTGAAAATGTTTGTAAAGCGATGCTGCTTCTTTAAATCTCGTTTTAAGTATAAAAATATCAGGAATCCTTTAAGCTTCTAGGATCAAAACTCCACGTGGTAAATATTTTTACTATATTTTTTATAATAACAAATAATTATATTCGACTGGTGTTGATTGCATATTATACATAGGCAGTTTGAGGCTCTTCAATGTTTAACCAAATCGTATTCTATTCGCGAAACTCTGTCGAGAAAAATATTTTGCTCGATAAAATCAGAGAAATTTGCGAGTTTAGCGAACGAATATTACGAATGTTATGATTTCGTGCCTATTGGTATGGAAATTTTTACCTAGGCATCTAAATAAGTATAATTTTTATTCTCCTTAGAAAGCAGGGCGAAAAATAAAATCGTGTAAGAATTATGTGTAATTATAATTTTAATTGGTTTATATAAATGGATTTCACAGTAATTCATGTAAGAAATAAATTTCGGCAGCACCGCGGATTACTGAAGCGCTAAGAAAACAAAGGAACAACTCTAAAAAGCACGCGTTATTGAATTGAAGAATCGCTGTACATTCAAAGGCATTACGAAGAACCTTCAATAACGTGTCATAAGTCCCAAAGATCATCCCTGGTCCCCACAACGGCCTCATTATTTATCCCCAACCCCAGAACTGCTCTTCACAATTTCCCCTCCTGATTTTGTAATGCCTCGAGAAAGCGTGAGCCGCCGACGATGTCTTCGACAGGATTTAATTACTAAGGATACCTGTTCAGCTTGGCCATAGGAATATCATTATAGAAATTCTGGAGAGTCGTCTCCCTCGCTGTTAAGAATTCATTTATTTCGGGACTGTAAATGTGGGAATGATAATTATCGTAGTCCATAAGAATGATGAATCATAGATTCTTGGAATGCTTGACTTGAGTTTCTGCGTAATAGATTTGTATTAGAAATCAAACATGAGCGGAGCATAATTAAAAAAAATTGTGGCAGATTTTTTCGCTAGGTTTGTATTGAAATCGAAATCCGAACATATATTTTTGCCTATAAGAATAATTGCGGTTAAAATTTTGCGCACTTTTGTTACTGATGTAGTTTATCTCCAGTTTAATTTCACGTCTGTATCTTTTTTCTAACAAATATATTAGGAATTGAAAAACTCCTCATGATACCAATAATGATAAAAATAAATTCCATTGATGATACCTTGAAAAGATTACCCATTGTAAATAAAAAAATGTTTTGAAAAATTCAAAATAAAAGCAAAGAGAGGCAGTACTGCCACCCTGCTGTCGCTCTCATGAATATGCAAGGCAAGCGCTATCCGGAATTAGGGGTTATAAAAAACTGTAACTTCCATAAAATTATCGATGAAAGAGCGTTCGTTCAGCAAAATGAACCGTGGTAAAATTTTAATGCATCTTTGATATCTATCGTATATGATATAAGTATTTTTTAAAGTGATGTGACATTTATGTATCAAATTCAATGTCGAGTTAATTACATCTACTTAAAATTCCGTGTTTCTTCTCATCTCAAACTTACATTTAACCAGTACATCACTTTCATCACATCCCATCACATCATTCCCAGTACATCTCACCACATCATATAACTCTCATCACATCACTCTAATCACATCACATCACTCTAATCACATCACATCATTCGCATCACATCACATCACTCTCATCACATCAAATCACTCTCATCACATCACATACTCTCATCACATCACATCACTCTCATCACATCACATCACTCTCATCACATCACATACTCTCATCACATCACATCTCTCTCATCACATCACTCTCATCACATCACACCACTCTCATCACATCACACTACTCTCATCACATCACACTCATCACATCACACCACTCTAATCACATCATATACTCTCATCACATCACACTCATCACATCACACCACTCTCATCTCATCACATCACATCACTCTCATCACATCACACTCATCACATCACATCACTCTCATCACATCACATCACTCTCATCACATCACATACTCTCATCACATCACATCACTCTCATCACATCACATACTCTCATCACATCACACCACTCATCACATCNTCACATCACATCACATCACATCACATCACATCACATCACATCACATCACATCACATCACATCACATCACATCACATCACATCACATCACATCACATCACATCACATCACATCACATCACATCACATCACATCACATCACATCACATCACATCACATCACATCACATCACATCACATCACATCACATCACATCACATCACATCACATCACATCACATCACATCACATCACATCACATCACATCACATCACATCACATCACATCACATCACATCACATCACATCACATCACATCACATCACATCACATCACATCACATCACATCACATCACATCACATCACATCACATCACATCACATCACATCACATCACATCACATCACATCACATCACATCACTCTCATCGCATCACTCTCCTCACATCACTCTCATCACATCACTCTCATCACATCACTCTCATCACATCACATCACTCTCATCATAACATGACACTACACGCGCCATGTCACCGCAGGGAAATCTCCTGAGCAGAAGTTCGTCGCCGCCGCTGCCGAGTTAATGTGAAGCTCTCGGCTGAGACGGAAGACTTCTTGGCCTTCTCCTCAGCCTTCTTCTCGGCCTTCTTCTCAGCCTTCTTCTCAGCCCTCTTTTCAGCCTTCTTCTCAGCCTTCTTCTCAGCCTTCTTCTCAGCCTTCTTCTCAGCCTCCTTGTCAGCCTTCTTCTCAGCCTTCTTCTCAGCCTCCTTCTCAATCTTCTTCTCAGCCTTCTTCTCGGCCTTCTTCTCAGCCTTCTTCTCGGCCTTCTTCTCAGCCTTCTTCTCAGCCTTCTTCTCAGCCTTCTTCTCAGCCTTCTTCTCGGCCTTCTTCTCAGCCTTCTTCTCAGCCTTCTTCTCAGCCTTCTTCTCAGCCTTCTTCTCAGCCTTCTCCTCAACTTTCTTCTCAGCCTTCTCCTCAGCCATCTTCTCAGCCTTCTCCTCAGCTTTCTTCTCAGCCTTCTTCATAGCCTTCTTCTCGGCCTTCTTCTCAGCTTTCTTCTCAGCCTACTTCTTAGCCTTCTTCTTGGCCTTCTTCTCAGTCTTCTTCTCAGCCTTTTTCTCAGCCTTCTTTTCAGACTTTTTTAGCCTTCTTCTCAGCCTTCCTTTCAGCCTTCTTCTCAGCCTTCTTTTCAGCCTTTTTTAGCCTTATTCTCAGCCTTCCTTTCAGCCTTCTTCTCTGCCTTCTTATCAACCTTCTCCTCAGCATCTTCTCAGCCTTCTTTTCAGCCTTCATATCAGCCTTCTTCTCAGCCTTCTTTTCAGCCTTCTTCTCAGCCTTCTTATCAGCCTTCTTCTCAGCATCTTCTCAGCCTTCTTTTCAGCCTTCTTCTCAGCCTTCTTTTCAGCATTCTTCTCAGCCTTCTTCTCAGCCTTCTTATCAGCCTTCTCCTCAGCATCTTCTTAGCCTTCTTTTCAGCATTCTTCTCAGCCTTCTTTTAGGCGTTCTTCTCAGCCTTCTTCTCTGCCTTCTTTTCAACCTGCTTTTCAGCCTTCTTTTCAGCCTTCTTCTCAGCCCTCTTCTCAGCCTACTTCTCAATCTTCTTCTCAGCCTTCTTCTCAACCTTCTTCTCAGCCTTCTTCTCAGCCTCCTTCTCAATCTTCCTCTCAGCCTTCTTCTCAGCCTTCTTCTCCGCCTTCTTCTCAGCCTTCTTTTCAGCCTTCTTCTCAGCCTTCTTATCAGCCTTCTCCTCAGCATCTTCTCAGCCTTCTTTTCAGTCTTCTTTTCAGCCTTCTTCTCAGCCTTCTTCTCAGCCTTCTTCTCAGCCTTCTTCTCAGCCTTCTTATCAGCCTTCTCCTCAGCATCTTCTTAGCCTTCTTTTCAGCATTCTTCTCAGCCTTCTTTTAAGCGTTCTTCTCAACCTTCTTGTAGGCGTTCTTCTCAGCCTTCTTCTCTGCCTTCTTTTCAACCTGCTTTTCAGCCTTCTTTTCAGCCTTCTTCTCAGCCCTCTTCTCAGTCTCCTTCTCAATCTTCTTCTCAGCCTTTTTCTCTATCTTCTTCTCAGCCTTCTTCTCAGCCTCCTTCTCAATCTTCTTCTCAGCCTTCTTCTCAACTTTCTTCTCAGCCTTCTTCTCAGCCTTCACATCGGCTGAGACGGAAGACTCCTCGGCCTTTATCTCAGTCTTCCTGTAATTCTTCTTCTCAGCCTTCTTCTCTGCCTTCTAAAAAATCACCGATTTCGCTTAAAAAAACTATTATTTTTTTGGGCTTTGAGTTCTCATATTATCAGCACACATTTTAATTTCCTGCTTTGAGTGTTTTTTGACATTATTTGCTGCTTCTTAAACTGACTCTGCTCAACAACCTGTCTGCTAAAAAACAGGCACTCAGAGGAATTGATAGGTCATACTGTCCGAATAATGACACATTTACGGCACCCAGCACTGATACGCCCTTATTATGGTCCAAACTGGGTCAGGATTTCTCACAAATAGCGTATAGATATTAGGACACAGTCACACTCATTTCTATGAGTGAGAAACGATTCCGCCAGGGAAGCGGTACGTTTCATTCTGCATGCACGCCTCGCATTAGGCTGCCGGAGAGCCGCGCTGTAGTGCACTACCACATCAAAGCCAATACCATCCCAGCCAACCATCGCAGCCAATACCATCCCAGCCAACCATCGCAGCCAATACCATCCCAGCCAACCATCGCAGCCAATACCATCTCGATCAATACCATCACTCCTACCATCTCAGCCAATATCATCTCAACCAATACCAGCTCAGCCAATACCAGTTCGGCCAATACCACCACTCCAACCATCGCAGCCAATACCGCCGCTGCAACCATCGCAGCCAATTCTTCCAATACTAGCGTGCAATTTTTCCGTTGATTTGCAAATCTAATTTGCGGCTCACTCTTGCTGGGCAGAATACACTTCCACTGATATAATAAACACTATCACTATACGCATACACTTCCACTGATATAATAAACACTATCACTATACGCATACACTTCCACTGACATAATAAACACTATCACTATACGCATACACTTCCACTGACATAATAAACACTATCACTATACGCTATGACTATTTTGAAAGCAACACATTAGACAGAGAGAAAATTATAAGAAATATATCTCCATTTTGACAAGAGCTCCTTGATTTCTCATAATGTAATTAGCCAATAGATGATCAATCAACGTTATTTTGGTTCAGTTCTTGAGCCACGCAAGATTGGATATTGTGGAAATATTCTATACATAATTTTTATATATAACTTATGAATTTTGCTTGAAAAATTTCGAAATTTGTGAAAATGTGCGGGGTGCAGCCGCGACGAGGCATGCGCCATGTAACGCAACAAAATTAATTAGTAGAATTAAGATACGCGAGAAGGTATGATACATTTTTATTAATTAAGTAATTGATTACGAATAAAACAATATATTTTCTATTCTAATTAATTTCCATGTCCCCTGATACGTTCAAAATTTTTGTTTTCTCGGAGTTCAAAGTTAATTATTGCTTGTCTTTTAGGGTGTGTAGGGTTTGAGGCTGAAATGTAATCGTAAATCAAATCGTAATTCTATAGCGAATTTGTGTACCTAAATGCTTATTTGCTTCGCTCAAAGTTTAATGAGGATTTCGCACGGTGGCTGGTCTAAAATACGTCGATATGTGATATTCTATTTTTATAGACTAATAACGTAATTTCCATAACTCCGTCTAATATTTTACATAACAGAAAATAAATCTTCATATTTCCTTATTGCGGCCAAAATCGGCATTTAGTTGCCACGCGTCCAGAGAACGACGGAGCTCATACAATCTAGAAGCACTCTAAGGCTGCCACTCAGGGAAATACATGGGTCATATTGTCCAAATAGTGACACACTTTCTTACCGACATCACTAGCAGAGAGCGGACGTAGCATTGATACACCCGTGTGTCTGGTCGAACTGGGTCAGTGTTACTCATATAATGCCCAAAAGTGCATCATTAGTTGGACAAAGTCTCACTTATTTATCTGAGTGAGTTCATTTGCACGGAGTTAAGCTTAACTTAAGTTGAGATGCCGCTGTCGAGCTCATAATGCAACGTAAGTTACATCAATGCACAGCGATACCGACTGCAGCATTCAGGAAAATGAGTGAGACATTGTCTAAATATCGAAGCACTTCTTGCTTATGTTTGGGTCACATTAGCCAAGTTTGGTCCAACGGAAGTTCGCGTATATGATGCGTCAGCTATCTGTCAGGGCTGTGTGTGAGAAAGTGAGTCAACATTTAGACAATATAACGCATTCATTTATAAGAGTGTCTGTCAAAATTAATTAATTAGTTAATGAACTTTGCGGTCGCATTTTAATTATTTTGATTTTTAATTGGTTGATGAGCTTTGCGGTCGTACGGTAGTTTGTGATACGAGATAGATGGCTATACGAGGATGAACGTATTAATGGCTATACGAGGATGAACGTATTAATGGCTATACGAGGATGAACGTATTAATGGCTATACGAGGATGAACGTATTAATGGCTATACGACGATGAACGTATTAATGGCTATACGAGGATGAACGTATGGATGGCTATACGGCGATGAACGTACGGATGGATGGCTATACGAGGATGAACGCGGATGAACGTGTGGATGGCTATACGGCGATGAACGTATTAATGGCTATACCTGTCTCTTATACACATCTAGATGTGTATAAGAGACAGGCGATGAACGTATTAATGGCTATGAACGCGGATGAACGTATGGATGGCTATACGAGGATGAACGTATGGATGGCCATACGAGAATGAACGTACGGATGGATGGCTATACGAGGATGAACGCGGATGAACGTATGGATGGCTATACGAGGATGAACGCGGATGAACGTATGGATGGCTATACGAGGATGAACGTATGGATGGCTATACGAGGATGAACGTCAGTAAAGCTTTCTACGATGAAAAATATATCAGCTAAAAGTTCGTGACATCAGGCATAAATAACTTTCTACCCTCGTTCAATTATTCCTCGTTCCTTTCCATGCCTCAAACTTAAACTTATGTTGCGTACTAAGTCATAATTTTAGTCGTACTTGAATAATATCCGAGACTCTTCTTAGAACTGCTGTCTTTATTGCATTCTGGCAAAATGTCTGTTAAAAATTAGCTTCAATATGTCTAAAATTCATTTCTATCGCAACGAATTCGATGTGATGACACGTTAAACTTCCGTAGACAGCACAAAAAGTAAAATTGGTGATTGGATGATTACGGAAACTTTTTGAACTCAGTCGCACTTTAAGTTACATTGCGATACATGAGACGATATAAAGTTATTTAATACAAAAAACACATGAAGTCTTGTTTTGGCTTACCTTACTCATCATGACCGTTACTCATCAGAAATATAATATTTTTTTAGCATAATAAATACATTTTCTTAACCGTATTAAGTCATGTAGAATTTTGAAGCCTAACCTTCCCCAGGTAAGTTACACAGTCAGACAAATGAACGGGCTGTATTGTCCAAGTAATGACACACTTTCTTAAGGTTGCAATGATGAGCTTGTCGGGCCAAACTGTGTCAGGATTGCCTACACAAGTGCAAGAAGTGTATCGTATATCGCACAATCGAAAATCGCAATATTTTTTCGATTGGCATTTCCCATGAAGGGTGATGTTGGTTTCGAAAGCTTGCCGACGAAAGCATTTTTGTAGTTCAGGGCTGAACCATTTCCTTAAAATAGTTACTATATTTTATAAATCCATTTAATTCTAGCGAAATTTGAAGCCCTTTTATATCTGGGTAATAAATATACTCCTCCCTATGGCGGATGGTCGAAAGCTTGCCGGCGAGAGCATTTCTGTAGTTCAGGGCAGAGTCCCGCGTGGACTTCAATGCAAATGTTAGCTCGGACAAATGCCTCTGTAATTTTGTCCCACACAATAGCTTCAAATGGAGGAGCATCGAGATAATCTTTTGCGATCGGCCCCGACATCCGAGTCTCGTTTGCAATTCCAACTCAGAGGAAGCCGTCACAGGATGCAGAGAATCTATCCACATTTCCAATTTGGAGGCCCCTTCATCCTGGAATGTATTTTAATCCATAATTCGTGAGGTGCGGTAAATGATCTAGAAACCCAAAACTACACTACGCTACCTTGCGGTTATTTGTAATGATATTCATTGGTTTCATACGAAATTGTGTTGATGCTCATATTCCCGTATGTTTTAGTCGTTGCTATTTGGCAGCCATGTAAATTGTCGTTTGATTCATCGACACGATGCATAAATATTCAGAAACGCAACTTGAAAGCAACAACATGATAGCAATTTCTTTGCATTTGAAGCGCATGACATATCATCTAAATTAGATTACAAGACTCCTTGTTATTCCAAATATTCATGTAGTAAATTTTTTTTAGTTTTGAACCTTATGATGCGGTAAAAATTATTAAAAATTTGAAGCAGACATGAGACAAAGGCGGCGTAGATATGGCTTGCGAAACAAAGGCCGCATCATTTGGCATGTCTTATTAGACAAATACCGCGTCATTTGACATGGCTGTATAGACAAAGGCTGCGTCATTTCATGACTTTGGGGACAAAGGCAGTGTCATTTGGCATGACTTAGAAGACAAAAGCTGCGCCAATGGCATGACTAAAGAAAAGCATGCCACTGGCATGTGAACAAAGTCCGCATCATTTGGCATGTCTTTTGAGACAATGGCCGCGCCATTTGGCGTGCCTTTGGAGATAGAGGCTGCGTCATTTGACATGAATTAAGAGACAGGCCGCGTCATTTGGCATGTCTTTGTAGACAAATACCGCATCATTTGGCATTGCCTTGGAGACAAAGGCCACGTCATTTGACGCTGCGAAGTG